TATTTCTTAATTGGCTAATCATCGAAGCCATAGAAATTTCAAGAAAAATACGCTCCACATTTGGTAATCAGTAGAGAAACAAATTGCAGAATACAATGGTAATAAACTGTGCTATTACTTGCAATATTTGAAATCAGAGATTTGAATGTAAATACTTCTTGCTAATAATCTGTATTGAGATTACAGCTTCTTTGATGAGCTGTGAATTCATCTTGAATAAAGAAATAGTTACTTGCTCAGCGGAAAAGAAGTGCAGACACAATTTTTGCACAAAAGAATTGTTCATCTTCAGCTTAATAAATCTATCTAGTGCCAACTTACTGAAAGTTAGAAGAATATGAATTCTTTATTAAATTTGCCGAAAAAAAACTAATGGATTCAGTTCCAAAAGTTTTCCGAAATTTGTGAATCTAAACACCTAGATGTTTTGTCAACTTATTGAATATTTTCCCCCTCATCATACTAATAATGGAATTGGTGCTGGAAGATAAATAAAAGTAATAACCTTAAAGCACTTCTCCTCTCGATCGTCATCCTTACCTACTGCCACTTTTGTTTTTCCAAAAATGTTTTCACATTCTGCCGTAGGGAGTTTGTCTTCGCACATAACCGCCGTTTCATCATACTGCAAAGCAACTTTCAGTGCCATCCCTCCGACGATTTTAAAGAAATATTTCATTTGAAATCAAGTTCGATTGTACGATTTGAGACTTAAGAAACACGTACCTTTCCATTAGTGGTGCAATTTTTATCAGTAATAGTACCAGCGAAGGTATTATCAGAGAGGGCTAGAAGAAGCAGTAAAGAAATCATTTTTGGATAGTGGGAGTTTAGTGAAATTCAAGCGTGTTGAGAATTTGTGCTCTTATATGCACATCGGTATGACAATTTTTTTGACATCTCAGCTGTACACTCGCACAATGAAACACTAACATCATTGTAAAAAAAATTGTAGGCTCACACAATGAAAAATCATTTTTGTTTGTAAGGATTGGAGATAAAGGCCAGTTGTACTCTTTACAGACAATAAACTAATCGAAAATCAAAGATAAACGTCAAAAATTTAGATTAAACAAATGAAATATTTCTGGGTTGGAGCTTTGGCTACAAACAAAAATGCTTCAGTACTTTGCGCTCAGATATGCGTTTGTTTTTGCATTAAACACAGAATTTTTTGGATAAATTAGCAGAAAGGCTAAATTTTCTGCTGTCGTCTATTACTTTCGTATTCAAACCATCTTTGATGTAGGACGAAGAATCTGCGATAATTTTGGGAGGTGACTAGTGCTTTGAAGTATATGAACAAGTTGTGTGCTTTCTATTCGTAAACTTTCAGAGCCCTTTAAAGGATTTCAATGCTCATAAACGTCACTTTAAAACTCGCAGAACTCGGCGGCAGGTCTCCGGAAAGCAAGCTGGGATTCGTTTTTGTGATGGTCATGTGTGCGGCCTAAGTTTCTTCTCATATCTAATTCCATACACATATGTCCGTTCAGAAACATGCTCCAGTACGCGGAACCAATGTTTGTTTCAGTGCGGGCGTTTGCGCGGGAAATTTAAACGTGTTTTGCAATATTTATATGAACGGGTTTTTCTAGGCGAATAGACAATGAATACCCACATGGCGTAAAGATGCGGAACAACGAGAAGAAGAAGTGTTTGAAGAATCTTTGAAAAACCATGAGAATTAAAAAATCGCTGTGCCTTTTTGGGAGACCTCAAGTCTCCAATTAGTAAACACTTTTCCTCATAATTTTGCTTTCCCTATATCAAACACTTTTTCTACACCTCTTGATCCAACTTATAGCACCATAGCCAGATTAAAACACCTCCTTTCTTCCTTATTAGGGCCTGAAATTTTTTGAGTTGATGAAGAAAATGCGCTCAGTACTGCAGTACTTGTCCTGCTTGCGCGCTTTTGCACAGGTTTCAGTTGAGGGTTCGTAATTTCCTAGATTTCCAAGCAAGTGTTCGTTCTCGCAAGATTCAATCGGATTTGCTACAAAGTGCTTTATTTTCGCTGATTGAGGATATTACCATTTACTTTGAGTTGCACCATAGGTGAACAATGATGTGAGGAGTTTTTTTTTGCTCTTTGTTTCCGCCATTGTCACGTGCAACAAGCTCAGCTGTGTGTAACTACAATCGCTGCCTGAACAACTACTGCTTTTTCTATCAGTCCAGTGCAAGCTGCCGACAATTTGACGGGAGTGCGCTGGTCATGATTGAAGCTAGCTTGCCTATAGCTCAAAAGCTTGCACATTCTGAGAGATAAACAGATTAAAATCTT